TATAATATAATACAATATATAATATAATACAATATATAATATAATATAATATAATATGATATAATACAGTATAACATAATATAATATAATATGATATAATATAATATAATATAGTATAGTATAATATAATATATAGATAGAGAGATAGAGATCGATATACTCATGTATTATATATATATATATGTATGTGCATTTGGTGGTATATGTGGTGTCAGACCCGGTATCACTCATGTTAACCAATTTTTGAATCGTCATGCCAAATGCGGGGGAAATCCAACAACAATCAAAAACACTTGAAACCATCAACCCGCCATGTGGTGAAAGGAGCAGTGTGAACTTCGAAGATTTCGAGACATGATGGCCCAGCAACTGCTCAAAACACTTTGCCCACTCCCATTCTAGCAGCTTCTGCCGCAACTTCCCCTGATCTAGAATGGAAGCCGGCTTTGAGCCATGGGGATTCTTGTAAATGCCATTCCACAGATCCTAGGCCAGTGCAGTCCATAGCTTTTTTAGTCAACCAAGATTAACATCTCAGATGAAGGACAAAGCGGAAGAATCTGTTGAAACCGACGAACATGCCTAAATCTCTATGGTCTTGGGGATAAAAAAAACAGAAAAGAAATCACAAAAAATCACAATAAAAGACTGATTTCAGCCCATTTTGTGGTGGGCTAACCCTTCCCACTCATCGTGCCAGTCGGCACACTGGTCGGCTGAGCCCGCGAGCCCAAAAACAAGAGGATCCACCATCCCCAAATTCACCATGTTTTATGGGATTACAACCACCAAAATAAGTATGAGTTGGTTGTGGTTGGCTTATTCTTGCTCTACTATGCTCTACTAGCATTATTAAAATTACCTGATTACGCATGTATATACACCTGTTACATATCTCCGCAGTTCTTGTTCAACACAAGGATTTATCTTTCGGCATCAATCTATCCATGCATCATCTTCACCGAATCCCCTGCATTCGCTGGCACCCAGGCGTGTGCATTGGACACCTGGGACCCTGCTGTGAGAATTCGAGTCCCACCAGTGGGATAGATTAAAACTGGGAGGTCATGAAGGACATATGGATGGACGGACTGGATTCAATTAAATAAGCTAGGGTTAGATTGAATAAGATAGGGTTAGATTGGAAAAGATAGGGACAAGATAGGATTGGATCAGATTATAGATAGGATTAGATTGGACTGGAGGGGATTAGATTGGATTGGGTAAGATAGGATTAGATTGGATAAGGTAGGGGATAGATTAATAGATAAGATTAAGATTAGAATAGATTAGATAGACTGTCACCTGAGACTGAGATTTTGGGCTGTAGGCCAATATTTGTGAACCACAAAAGCCTCCCCTTATGCGCAAAATCATTCTGCAGAAGTGAGGACGAACGTTCTTTCAAGTTCCTTCCACACATTTCTTCTGGCTCCCGCCATATTGCAGTAAGTTGCACAAGACTTGTGTAGGCACGAAAGCAATTTCTTCCGAGCTTTACAACGTGTCGGTGCTGCGATTGTGCAGCGCTCATGCCATGTTCACTCAGACTATGACACAGCCGAGAACTGATGATACTGCCTCATCCCCAGTGTACAATGGGTAGTTTTCCTCCAATTGTATGTCTATATCTATATCATTCTATATCCAGATCATCCATGCTATTGTATATCCATAGATACAAATGGTTAGAGGGGCTTTGGGACCACCTGAGTCTGACATGTGCCAGGATGACCTGGCCGTGAAAGGCACGTCGACGTCATCAATCGAATCAGGCGATCTTAACGGAAATGCAATTTTTGGAGACCAACACAAACCCAGTTCAACAAAATACATGCAATCAATCAGGTCGCATCTTTGGCATTTCTCAACCTTGCGACCCTTGATTCAAATATTCAGTATTGAAAGCTAGGTTTTTTGAATTCCCTTGGTTTCAGGTTTCTTTTGTGGACTCCAATGCGTGCTTGTCACAGGTCTCACTCCATTGGCACCGAGACCAACTGGATAGAAAAAAAAACAAGCTGGCGAACAACATGTCTTTGTAACATATTGAAACTGAAACTGTATCAGTTGCGAGTTGTGACTGACAAATGAAATAACACCATTGGCAGAGCCTCTTGTGCTACGCCGCTGAACCACGTCTCGTGGGGACCGCATGGGTACCACACTCGCGGACACATGTTGAACCATGGCAAAATGTTTGTTGCACCAATGAATCAAGATAAAGCAATGGACCAACCAAACAGAAAGGAAAACCTGGACTGCGCTGATTCAAGTGAAATTCAAGTCACTCAACTTACCCGAAAATAGAATAAGGAAAACCTGTCTGCTTCTTCGACCCGTTCAATTGTACCTAGACTCTGGAGGTACTCATCAAAATTGGTATCTAACCTACAATTCTCAATATATCTAAACCCTTAAGACTTTTCCATGGGTACCGGGGCAAGGTACTTCCAGTGCTGCACACAGCTGATGACTCTAAGGAATGGCCAGCGTCAGACCACCTGGCGGCTTGCATTTTTTGGTGGGAAATCATGGTGTTGGGGGGAACTACTGGGGGTATACAGTCTACACCATCTTTGATGAGATTCACGTTTCCCCCCCCCAAAAAAAAAAAAACATTCATGCAGCCCATCCCCATCCAAATCCCTCCAAATCTCCATCCACCCGAAGTTCAGGCCTTGGGCAAATGCTGGGCACTCCTGACCGACCACAACAATGGGCACCGGCGCTGCATTTGGCGCATCATAGTCTGTGATACGCGGCTGCTGCTCCGAGGCCACACGTTCAATTAGGGCCTGGTAGATGCCAAGTGGCTCAAGAAATACCTCCAACTGGATAACTATTTCTGGTGAAATTGATGGTCCATCATTGGGTTTGCTACTTTGCTAAGTGGCTATGGGGTATAGAAATTATAGAATTAATATAATATTGTATTTATTTGATGTAATGATATATGCCTGGAAATAGGGGCTTCTCTAAAAAAAAAGGAGTTGATATTATGATATAAGTTATGGATTCATGATCCATAGGGAAATGGTGGAAGATATTGAGATTAGCGTTACGGATGGAGGGAAAATAGCGTGATGAACACGGACAAAGACATCTAAGTTTGAAGCAATTTCTCTTACCCCCTGGTAAACATACAAAAAACTATGGGAAATCACCATTTTTAATGGGTAAATCAACTATAAATGGGCCATCTATACCATAGCAATGTGTTAGTTTACCAGAGGGTACCACCAGTTGCTGAAAGGGGGTGCCAGACCCTTTTCCATTGCTCTCACCTCTCCAGAGTGCAAAAAGCAGAAGGTCAAGAAGAAAAAGGGTATACTCACCTCGGCTACCCCAGCGGATCCAGCAGAGGTATGTACTTAAGATAACTGGAGAAAACAGATATAACTAGGAGATTGGATGGTTGGAATCTCCAAATCTTGGAAGAGGGTCAGGGTTGGCAAAATGTCCCTGATAATGAACATCACCCAACTACTGGGGGCTGGAAATTTCCCCGAAAGCATTTGTGGGTGATCTGGTGACATGAAGTGTCCACACCTGAGGCACCAAGTGAACCTTTTGCACTAGTTCCCCTGGATATAGTTTCTATGAAAACATCCTCCAACCCCCCAAACTTGATATATCTGAACATCCTGCGAAGGCACCACATTTTTAGCTGAACATTAAAGCCAGCTCGCCAAAACACGACAAAACGATCCAACCAACTTCCCGCGTTCCCAGGAAAACCCAGATTTGATACTAATGTAATTTTTCATATATCCCAATTGGACATACCCAAGAAACATGGGTTTAATATGGTTTATAAAGTTTATATATGGTGAATATTCCCCGATAATGATTAATTTATATATATGGGTAGTGCCCCTTTGGGGTATGTGAAATATATCTATTATGATAGGAAACACCTAAGGATATGGGCTGATCCACGGTCCATCGTGCCCGCTTATGTGCCCTTTCCAAGGTACTACGACCATTAAGGTTGAGTTCATCGCCACGATCACGGACCTCAGAATCGGGAACGACTTCAAGCTACACATGAAGATATGGACAATCCATGTGACAAACCACCATTTGTAGATCATTTTCTAGGGAAACTATGGGCTCTCCACTATGTATATTATATATATATATATCTACATACATCTATGCTAGTTCATTACTGCAGGGCACACCTTGATGTCAAACCTTTGTGATTCGATTACCGGATCTGATATATATATATATACACATATAGAGTATGATCTTTGGACCATGTGCTGATATTAGTTTGAGATCGGTCCGGACTGCCCAAAAAAAATCTGTCTTCCCAAGAGAAATGGATCTAATTACATAAAAGATGCAAATGTGATAAACCTGGCCTTCACCCCTCATTACTAACCTTCCCTCCAAGTGAGATAGAGGGACTCACAGCAAGGACTGGGTCACCAGACATGAAATCGTCGGGTCTGCATCTCACCAAGAGCTTTCCTCTCACACGCGCTGATAATGATAATTATTAGCAGTATTGTTATAATTATGGTCATGGTAATGATGATGAATTATTACTACTATTGTGCTATTAATATTTCTACTAGGATGATGATAATTATTATTATGGTAATGGTGATGGTGATGCTGGTGGCTGATGGATGATGGCGATGCTGATGCTGATGGCAATGATGATAACGGTGGTGGTGGTCAGGAGTAATTTTCGGATATACTGTCATGGCAAAGATATCTATGTCTATAGGTCATTTTGGCAGTCATGGTGATGATGAAAATGCCCCTACCATCACAATTTTGCTCCACAGAAAACGGATTCTGATGTCTGGTCCCGCTGTATCCCGCGGTTTCACATGCACGATCATGCATGCTTTGCACTGGGGCAACGATTGGGGCTGCAAAGGGATCAACAATTCTGTAATTTCTGGTAATGTGGGAATCCTACGTATAAACCATCCCCAATATTGTCATGAAAGGTTTGTAAAACCATCCCCAAATATCCCAAATGTCAGGATAATGCTATTGGTTTTGGCACATGAAAGATTACTAAAGCATCAATTACTTTTTTCATGAAACGCTCTAATTTTTTTAATGCCTAAGCATTGTGAGCCATCACCATCAACCCCGGCTGAACCTACATCCACAAGCAGGATGCAAATAAGAAGAAGAGAGAAGCCTCGGCATCTGTCCAGGGCGCAGTGAGATGTCGCCGAGGAACAGGCTGGTGCCCCATCGTTAGCCAACTTGGTTTATAAGTCCAATAACTATGGTTTTTGTTGGTGATATATCTATAGTATTCTATAGTTAATGGGATTATAACCCATGAAAAAAACTGGGGGCACCACCTTGAAGGTCAAGCAATATAACCAATACGCACCATTCCTATCGATATCCATCCATCATGATGTATCATCAATGCCCAAGCCTGCATGATAACAAACCACTGGGCCAGGTCAAACATGTTTGACCTGACCTTTCAATGAAACCTTCGGGAAAACTTGAGCCCAGCACCATCCAAAGCATATCCGCATATCCTTCCCAACATGTAGAAACTGATAGAGGGGAACTTCACCAACCCTGGTTACATAACGCCCCCATAACGACCCCACCCCGTGCGCCCCGTGCGCCTATGGCACCAACTACCTCCATTACCTTCAAGCGGAAAATCATCTCGGTGAGGATGGCCTTGTCGGCAGGATTTGGGATGTCATACCGACACCCTGACACCTTTTTCAAAGGTGAGTTTCAACAAATTGATCAGTTGAATTCAGTTGATAGTTACTGATAAATACTGAGTCAGTTACTGATACTTACTGATAGTTATCACCATAAAAAGATGATGGAAAGGATTACTGCTACCGCACCAAGGCCCACCTGACTTCAGTCCCAGATGCGTTGATCACCGAGGCTACCAGCCAGGCTGGCATGACCGAAGCCACCAAAATCCGTGAGCCGGTCATCTTTGTCTCCAGATCCGCCAAAATGCTCGAGATAACCTGAAGCTCCAGTGATTTCATGGGAAAAATTATGGGAAAACTATGGGAAATGGATGTCGCCTTGGCCCCTTGACCTATCATTTTAATGGTGATTTTCCACAGCTAAATGTTGAATTACATTAAATTACCAGAGGGTAGTGTGCAAGTTGGACAAGAAAACTGATGGAAAACCCTGAGGTTTGGGGATTTGAAGTATAGAAACACTAGACCGGGCAAGTTAATGTGATATAGTAATTTACATATATATATGTATATGTATATATATATACATATGTATCTGTATACATATATATATATATATTCATATTCATATATGTCGTTTAACTATATTAATATCATGAGTAAGGGATCGAAGCTACATTTATTTTCTTTCACACATGGAACATAGCCCCTGGGGGTGCTTCATGGACCCCACCACATTTCCTGGAGATAGTACTGTCCATGGATTGGTAGGGTGAAACCTACATTATGTTCACAAAGTTCTTGTAAATGTGAATTAGGATGAATTAGGTAATTAGGGTTTTCCCGCCAATTTTCCCATCATGGAATTCTGGCATACCACCTAGTTGGTGACACCCGCAGCTAAGTTGGATCAACTCATGATTGACTGGTGGTGTCAGTAGGTGATTTAGCATGCCAGCAGCTACCCTATGAAGGGAATCGTAACATACAGTAAGTACAGGGCAAAGTCCAGAGACCTGGATACCCCGTTCAACAAACATGTTTCAGTTCGAGTTATTCTCGCGATCGTATATTGTTTTATGAGCCAAAAAAACGTTCCAAGCACCGACAATTCACAAAGTTTATACATCATCCATCTGTCTTACACCAGGTAGCTGCTGCGCCGCACATAGTGAAGGCCAGGATGGCCAGAATCCTTAGATAACCCGTCGAGGCTGATGGTTTCAGTTCTCTTGTTTTCTTGAGACATCCTCGTTGGCTGCATCGATATATGTATACACACAATGCATTAAAGTTATATAGGAACACATAAAATTACACCTATATAGATAGGTATATACAAATCAATGTGTTAAAGGCCAGCTAGATATGAGAGAATATCTATGGCCAATGATATTTTCCCAGTCATCATGGCAGCGACGAGCAACTGGAAATGAAAGGTGAAGTCGGTGAGTCCTCGCGTCCTCAGCGCGGTTATTTGTCAATCGGGCCCTCATTTCCCGAAAAAAACCCACACAGAACCCCTGCAAAGACCTAGGTGACAAGGCCAAACAAATGCACCAAATTTCACCTGATATGTTGGAAATTCCCATCCTGAACTCCCCATTCCAAATTACATGGAATGTTGATTCCTGCACCAAGATAGCCATAGCTCCTTGGCCCAAGGTGAGGTTGCAATTTTTACCCATCCGGAAGCCATTCTGCATCCCTCCTGGTGAGTTCAAGAGTCAGTCCCCAGAATGTTCCTGACATCACAGTGGTCAAAGCCAATAACCTCAGGTGCAGCATAAGAGTCTCAGAAAAAATGTGAAATAATAAGCATGAAGTGCATAACTGCACAACTATGCATGGTTTGGTGGTTTGCCCCTGATGTTTTTGCGCATTCAAAGTTTGAGGTTCTGAACAGTCCGAGGTAGATTCAACAAATGCCAAAGGCTTCATGAGCACTACTCCCCATCATTCCAAATTGAAGGGAAGGGTCTCCAAGAAAACGCATATTGTATGTGTAATGTGGCAAACCCAATAATAAACCATCCCCAATAAAGGTTGATGATTGGTTAGTCCCTATGTGGGACGATAAAGAAATTACCTCCAAGTGTTTGGGTGCTGTGATGGTTAACTAATGGTTTTACACATGAAATGGCAAGCAACGTGGTTTCCCGTAGATTTTCCCTTGAACCAACCCAGAGAAAAACAAAACCTTATCACTCTTGCAACAGTTGTTCAATATCCGCAACACCGTTTTTGCACACGGGGAGTTCTGCGCAGGTGCTTGCCGACGGCTGGGCTAGGCACATAGGAAAAAAAATGCCTTGCCATCAAAAATCTGCTAAACGTGATCCAAGTCCATCAGGGGAGCACGACGATGATGATCGAAAGATTGATTCAGAGCTCTCAATTGAAAAAGAAGAAGGAGTTTGTGCAACTTCAGAGCCGTGATCACACGCTCTAACCAGTGAATGCAACGGGTCACCAGCGTCAAAGCAAGTGGAACACATGAATGTCATCTGAAGAAAGTGGAAAAACATGTAAGGAGGTGAAAGGGGAAGGTTGGAGGGACAAAAACGTGTTGCTGAGCCCAAAACTGCCCATAATATGAGTGAATGCTCAACCGAACAGCCCGACTTGACATTTCAAGTCTTGATGCGTTTGTGATCATGTATTACCATTCCGTTTCACTACATGAGAATAGCCCGACTTGACATTTCAAGTCTTGATGCGTTTGTGATCATGTATTACCATTCCGTTTCACTACATGAGAATAGCCCGACTTGACATTTCAAGTCTTGATGCGTTTGTGATCATGTATTACCATTCCGTTTCACTACATGAGAATAGCCCGACTTGACATTTCAAGTCTTGATGCGTTTGTGATCATGTATTACCATTCCGTTTCACTACATGAGAATAGCCTTTTCAGTCTTGCAACAGCCGTTCAGTATCCGCAACACCATTTTCACACGGGGAGTTCTGCGCAGGTGCTTGCCCCCCATGCAGTAACCTGCGCCAGATCGGGCGACCAGGTCTCGAATGAAGACATCTGGATCGATGACAATCCGGCACTTCTCATCGAAGCTTGAGCAAACACCTCTGCAGGGCTCGTCAGCCACATTTGCATGACTGGCCACTCTCTCAAACCATGTTACCGCACATACGATGAACTCCCAAAGCAAGATCCCTTCAAAGATGAGGCGATCAAAACCGATGCCAACTGAACCAGACACAAGCCTTGCCAGAATGAATTGTTGTCAATGAACACCACCAACCGGTCATTGGGTTGGACCGCTAGCGGATCACTCACATGAGTACTGCAAGGGCCTCCAATTCAAAGATTACGTTCTGTTTCTGACCCGGGCTCAAGAGGTTCACAGTTTCAACACCAAGCTTCTCCGAAAAGAATGACAACATCGCCCCATGCCCGTCAAACAGGACACCACCAACGCCTCCTTCTGAGTTCTCAAAACAGGCGTCCGTGTACAGATGGAAAATCCTACCTACTGTGGAGACGACCTTGCGCGGTCCTCCAGCGATGACCCGATCACGAAGAAATCTGAGGCTGCTCTAAAGCTCCTGGTCAATCTTGATCTCACCTACCATATTCTCCAGCCTTGACAACTGTTTCATATGCACACTGGTCAAACGCCCAAAGATCTGTGCCTCGGCAAAAAAAAAGGCGACCCCTCAGAGTCCTCATCTCAGAGGCCGACATCTTGCCTCTGAGCAACACCTCATCAATGGTCGCCGTCAACTCCTTCACGCGGCTGGCAACATTGCTGATGGTTACGGCACCCAAATGCAAGTCACCAAGATCAATTTGCACCCCAACAATCCTGGAGACAGAATTGAAACCACCCTCTTTCTCAGCCAGTAATCATGAACAGGAGCTGCTGTGTCAGATCCACGTGCCTTGCCTCAAAAACCTCAGCAAGCAACCAGGAAGAAGTCGTCAAAATAGACGGTCCAGTGAAGATTGAACACGACCACCCCAATGCGCCCAATCGCATAAGAAGTCCTGCAGAAGCCCATGGCCGCTGCTCTTGCACCAAATGGCAACACCATTGTCTGAAATGCTCGGGGTGATCCATCTTCTGGAGAGTACACACAAATGCATGCATGTGCCAACTCGGAAACGGGAGATGTTTGTAGGCCTTCCTGAGATTGATCGTCTTGCAAACTAGTCTGTCCCCAGGCCTCGCCTGCATCCTCCTGACAAGCGTGGCACATATCATATGGCATCAACCCCCATTGGCTGGATGGACTCATCACACGAGTTGGTCGTGTAAATCGTCAATGGGTCTGAATTTCATGGCCCTGCTCCCGTTTGCAAGAGTTGTCGATTGCCTGACTCCAAAACGGCGCGTCAAAATCGATGACTCTGGCAACTGGTCAAAGGTGAAGGGGCCACGCATCCACCCCTTCCTGCACTCTTCCATTGTTGCATCAAAAATCTCCTGACGCATGTCATCATCTTTTGCCCGATTAACTGCATTCCAGGCTGCAGTTCTCGCCAGCCTAGGAAGCAGTGTAGCAAACAATGGCTTGTGAGGAAACATGCCCCCCGACGGGATATGGCCCCATCAAGTCGAAACCCATGGCAATGTCATCTGCCAGGTTCACATCAGGAGATCCAGATGCCTCAACAAGCTCAGCAAACAAACGCAAGTTCTTGTTCTTCAGGATTTCCTTGGCGTGGCTGGGAGATGATTTGAGGCCATCTTCTCCCTCACGCTTGAGCTCCTCAAACCTCAGCGTTCACTTCCTCATTGCTGCAATTCTCTCGGCGGCCAACACATTGGGGGGGGCAGTCTTGCCAGTTTGCCAAAAGATTCAGCCAGCACATCGTGGATGCCATCAAGAAAGTGCCCGGGGTGTGACAGGCCTGCCGCACGCTGCACAAAGGTCTGAGGAGTCCAGGAAATCCCATATTCAACCTTCAGGATAGGTTCAGGCCCCTCCTTATCCCCCTGTAATAATAGGGGCATGGAGTCGTTTGGCATGCGGTGGCAAGAGTTTGGTCGGAGGACGTGTTGAACAAGTTGGAGCGACTACCTGTGATTCAGTTGTGACCTGTGGGAGCGCTTGTATTGCGGCTGATGCGCCGACAATGGTCACAACATGGTCATATTCACGCATCAGTGGTTTGAGGCGTTTGCCCCGAACATGCTTACCCACAACAGCTTGAGCTTGAAGGTGAATGCTTGCTTCTGTATCACACTGCATGTCAACTGGAATGTCTAATGCTCCGTGCTCTCTCAAACAGGCTGCCCACTCTCGACATAGCCCATGTGGGTACTCCACTTCATGAGCAGTTGCCCACCCTGTGGGAGTGTCCCCCAGGCATCATGTTCATGTGCATTTTCACACTCTCGACGGAAGTGTGAAAAACAGCAGTGGTTGACCAGCAATTTGGTGCGTTTGCGTCGTTTGGAGCCCAACATGCAATGGTGAAATAATACCTCTTGCAGTTGAGATGAAAGACCTTGGAGGGGACTCTTCAAAAATGGCATATTCCACATGTGGGATCGTGCAGGATTTTCAAGGCTGCATATGATGCCATGCTTTGTGCAATAAGCCAAGATTTCACCGCTGAACTTGTACAACTTGTTGGCAGTGTCCACATGTGCTTGGTCACGGGGTGGTAAGTTTGCCAGCCCATCAGGGAACTTGTCGCTTCTCAAGGGCAGTGGATGGAGGCCAAAGCTCTTGACAGATCTCCCTGGCCCTGGAAGATGTCCCACATGTGGACCCAGGTGCGCAGCAAATACACGTGGATCTTTCAAAATGCGCCACAGAAGTGTTTGCCCTGCCTCGTCTGAAAGGTCAAGACGTTTAACAGGTGCCTTGACCTGCTTTGTGACATGCGCACCGATGCCTGTGCTGCGCTGGCATCCAAGGCGCCTCACTTCTGCAGTGAGGCCTGCTGTACCTGAGAAAACTTCCACAAAGTACAAACTGGCAATGGAAATCCCTTGCACTCTGCTGGTAAACAAACGGGAAAATTGTTTGGAATCATCAAAACTTCGCTTGACCCCTTGGCCATGCAGTTGTGTGCCAACCCTGCACTCTTTTGTCATGGGGTGGTCGGGTTGGCGGATACCACCCTCCATCTGAGTTTGTCAAGCCGACGGAGAGTTGCACTGATGTGCTGGGTGCGGTCCAAAGCAGCGCATGCAACTGTGCAGGCCTTTCCCGCAGTCTTGTCCCGTTGATGCCAAGTTACAGCCCTTTTCAAGGTTGTAGTTGTAGCACATTCTCTTGCCAGCCTTGTCCTGCTGGTGAAGGCCGATCAACTCAACTGGCATTCGCCCTTTGTTGTTGGTCTTGGTCTTTCCTTTGCCCTTGCCCTTGCTGGGCTTCTCCTTTTTGGTCTTTTTGCGGATATGAATGGGCTTCTGTGCTGTGTCATCAGTGGTTTTCAGCTCTGGTTTCTTGGCCGTGGAGACTCCCTTGTCCAAAGGGAGTGGCAAAAGATGAAACATGATGGCAGGGTCGGTCTGCAAATCATCCAGGGCTTTGTTCAACGGCAAAGATCCATCACCCTGGAGTTTCAATCTCGTGACTTTCTCGGCCATCTTGACCCAGGCAGCACGATCAGCCCTCAGCACTTGCTCCATTGTCGGCTGGCAGAACCCCAGTGGTGAGTTCATTTGCATCTGATCCAACAGGTGTCGATGCCATTTTTCCATGGTACGGAAAGAACAAGCTTGCATCAAGTCACAGGCAAAAGAACGCCGTGTCAAAGCTTGGTGAAGCTGCAGCTCATTGCTGATCTGGCACTTGTCCTTGTTCTCCATGTCCTTGACTGTGTTGACATTGTCCAAGACGAGTTCCTTGCCAGGACGCTCACGAGACACCTCACTGGCCCTCGTAGCGAACCTATGGGGTTCAAGATACATAGGAACATCGGCCTCCAGCATCTTTGCAACATAGTCATATGAAGAATGCGAGCATTCCAAGGGCCCGGTGAGCTCCATGCCAAGCAGACGTGTCTTTTGCCCTTGGATCCGGGTGGCGAGCTCGGCTGGTACAAATTCAGCCTTTTTCCCACTGCCCGACCCATTCAAAGTTGATTTGATCTGGGATGCACACAATGTTTGGGCATCAAACATCAGGCGTCGAGTTGAGCTCAATTGCCCCACCGTCACCTCATCTGGGTTCTCATCAAGGAGCCCCCGCAATGCATCATCTGTTGGAACCGTCGCAGGCGTGGTGATCGAAAAGGCCAGCTTGGACAAACTGGTTAGGCCGTGGTTCTGCAACCTCTGAAGCTGAGGTCTGGTAAGTCCGTGGTTGAAGGCGCGTGCATTGAATGCAGAATCTGACTCAAGGATGGTTGCCATGGGCAGCAAGTGCAGTTCCAGGTAAAAAGAAACAACAGTAATGACCTGAAAAAAAAATTGGACATGGGCATTTGCAATGTGATATGCTGTGCAAAACCCAGATTAGGAAGGCCGGTTGGCAAGATTGATTTTGGTCCAAATGACCTGCACAAGTTCAACATGCCGTCACAGGGATTGCAACATGCAAACACACATTGCATATATGCACTGCACTCGGTTGAGTGGCAAAAGCAAAGTTACCGCACATTTTCAAATGTTCGCATCCCATTCAGCTCTTACGGGCGCGCTTCACAGCAGCACCAACCGCTGCTGCACGCTCCCCCTTCGCGGTCTGGGTCTGACCCTTATTGCGCTGCTGGCACTTCATGGCATCGACAAAGAATTTTGCTTGGAAGGGCTTGTACTCTCTGCTGAGCGGTCGGCCACATAGAAATGCAGTCCTATGCCCAAACTTTGACAGGGCATGGACAAGCTTTGACCGGCCATGTTGGTAAAGTGTGCAGCCAGGGTGCCAGTGGCTTGCAGGTCTTTGGCTAGCTGCCATCTCCTTTATGACCTCTTCAGCATCTGATTCTTCGCGTCGTCGCTGTCATTGGCTCCTGTGGATGTCTCAGCGTGCGACGGAGCGTCAAACAACATCTCGGCACCCGGCATTGGCAAATTGGTAGGTGAATGAAGCTCCCTCCGAAAGTTCCTGAATATCATCCAAGGGAGTCGTGGGCACTGGACTGACATCTGCCACAAGAGGTGCCTTCGAAGTAGCTGGATTTGCGACAGGTGTAAACAATCCAGATCTTGTCATGTCTGGGGAGAAACGGCCACAACGAATGTTCCAGGACCCTCAATGGAGCACTCTGCAGGTCGCGAGAGTACACCTCCAGAGCCCCGTTGTGCAACTGATGGTGCCCAAGTACAAGCCGATCATCAAGGGAAGCACCGTACTTGCTTAGCATGATGAGCGTGGTTGCCTTGCATCCATAGGGTGTGAACCCAGTCGGATCAAAATCAGTGCATTTTGCCACGATCCCACGCAACCTCATTCCAACCTCCAAGGTGGTCACAGCACGGTCAGTCCAATCGCCAACCTGTGTAGGTGCCGGGGCCAATGGTCGACTTTGACACCAATCACCGATGTCTAACCCAGCAAGGCGTGAAATCTTGATGAACTCGCGGCCCCATGCTATCTCACTCAGCCCTTTGGTAGGTGCTATCAACGGCAGGTGGGCCCCAAGCCTGTTGCCCGTGGCACGCATCTTATGTGACTCTGACAGCATTTCGATGAAGCCAAGCGAGCTCTCATTAGACTCCGATACTTCGTCAATGATGATCTTTGCGATCCTTCTTAGATCACCATATCTAGCCCTGGAGTATATCGCAAAAAGGAAAACCCCTGCAGCAAAGCGATCAATCAGAGCGAACGCCAGATTGCAGAGGTACATCTCCAAAAACTGCAAGGTTTTCACGTTCAAAGTCGTAGATTGCTTCCTCAAGGGCTTTTGTTGCTGTGCGGCCCGAATGATCCCACTGACCCATGCCGAATCAAGGGCAGATAGGCCAACCACATGTTTCTCAAATTTTATAAAAGACCTCAGCAAATCCCTTGAAGGCGGCGTGACCAGAACCAATGTTTCGGAGGTACCTGATATAGTTCTTGATCAGTTCTGATGTCAACGGAAAAGGCAACCTATTTGCCTCCTCTCTTGCCCACTTTGCGAATCTAGTCAGCTGGGACAACCTGCGGGGTAAAGTAGCAGGCGACTTTCCGCCAAGGACTTCTGAAACGGTCCTGACCCTTTCTGAGTACTCTTTGTCAAACAGCTGGATGCCCAGGTCAAAGGCAGAGTGTAGTTGATAGAGATGAGAGCTTCCCATGTCTGCGCCAACAGAGACAGTTGATCATCCTCACTCAGGTGGCATGTTCTGAAGGAGTTGAATGCGATCGCACAAAACTGTAGGCTTATCAGAAATTGCCAGCTCTCCACCAGCGCGTGTGTCTGCAGCATCTGACTGAGGTTCAACGTAAACCCAAACTGGTGCAACAACAGGAAAATCTAAAGGGTCCCTGTCGCCAAAAATCCAAGCCATTGACGGCTCTTCCCAGGGCATGACAACCTGCATGGGTCTAGAACTGATTGCATGAGCGTCACTAATGGCATCGTGCATTTGTTGTCTGAACTCGGATGATATGACACCATCATCAGAGGCTGCCGCGCGCTCACCAAGCTCGGGCACGTCGAAGCCCTCTTTACCATCTCCAGCTGGGCCAACAACCAAACTTGCGCCCATGTAGACCTGGCAAGATCCATGCAATTACATACATCAAGTATCACAAAGCAATTCAGCACAGGACAAGAACATGCAAAAGTGGAAAAGAAGAAGTCAGAGATGCGATGAGCCTCACAAGTCCAGAGAAATCACCTCAATGAAAACCAGTTCGAAAAAAACATGAACAAACAAAGCAAAACCACAAGGCAGCTAAACACTGCGGGTGCCACATGGACCTATGATGAAACCTGACGTCACTCAGGACGACTCACATTGAGTTCCTAACTGTTCTCAAATCAACTGTCCTCCTGCCACAGCCGAGCCCGATCACCATTGCCATCTCACACATCGACATACATATGTCATTTTAAAAAAACAAGTGAGCATGAAAACCAGCCATACACATTGTATGTCGCCCTAGTTGCAGAGACTGACCTGAGCGGCACACCCCGCCAATGAGAGTCTCAGCACGTGACGACCTGAACATCTCAGATTCATGCAGGCTGCACGTGCAACCGCTCAAGGCGAAAGAACAGGATCACACATTCGACCCAATCACCAAGAGCCGGACAATAGGGTGGCCTGAATACAAGTGAATGTCAAAGAAGAACACTGAGAACGTGGAACATCATAAAGTCATAAAGTCATACAATGGAAAAGCACAGGTGAAATGAGTTCCTGGCACAATTGCACCAGCCTGGGCATCTATGCCCAACCGAAACAAGTGATCCAAAGATGCACAGTCCACATTGTACACTTGCGCCATTGGGGTCACGACACAGGAGAGAATCACGGAGACCTGCCGGACATCCCGAGGTGCTCCAGTGGACACATTTGAGAAGAAAAAGGGGGGAAAACCCATGACAAATCAAACATGCCAAACACAATTGGATTCATCATGCAAAAGGCCCACAAAACTCAAACTAATGAAGAAGGGCCTCGGGCCGCGGGTCTGCCCCATGGAAAAACGGCTGCAGGCTGCAGCACAGGACGAACACACATCTGCTCACAGCGCATGAGCTGCCAACATGCGGCATGTCACATGAGATAAGTCGAACAGGTCGACCAAAATTCCAGCTAAAGTCATGAGCCCCCCACATGTTCTTCCCGGCGCATGTGTCACTATCGACTGTGCTGTACCCCATGTAAAATCGGACACAAAATTGTCACGTGGCCAGCATCAAAAGTCAGTAAGCAGTGATGCCATTTAAAATTGCATACCTGAGAAAAAGAACGAGGAATATGTCCAGAAAAATTGTGAAGATCGAATTGCAACCCCCCGTCAATCCCATTCGGTCGCCATCTCAGCTGCAGCGGCTGAACGATCAAGTCGTCGCGTCTTGAGGGCCTGAATGTCAGCTGCTGTAAGATCCGGCAAGCCAGACCACAAAATGGTCTTTGCCTCAGTCAATGCATCCTGGCTGTTGAAACCAATGCTCTCCAGCATGTCAGTGGTGCGCAAGGCCAGAGTCCGGAATGGCGGCTTGATCAGCATGGGCAGCAGGTGATACATCAGGTACCTGGTCAGCAGCAGCTGCAGCAATTGGGCGTGGAACCGGTGGAGCTCCAGGCACGGCAACAGCAGCAGGTTGGGAGGTCAAGGGCTCTTCTCCAAAGCGGCAAACAAACAAGATCGAGTCCAGCTTGGCCGGTGGGCCGCATCCGTGCCACTCGGCTGATTGCTCGATGGAGCGCACAGTGTCTCCCATGCAATGAGTGGAAATACGGCCTGGATTCACATCCAAAAGTCCCTGACCAGGATCAAGGAACTGGACGTTGATCTCGATCTCGCCAGCATCGAGCGCCGGGTTGGTCACAGGAGCGAGACCAGCCATCACAGCGCGAAGGAGAAAACATGCACAAAAACGTGTTGCTGAGCCCAAAACTGCCCATAATATGAGTGAATGCTCAACCGAACAGCCCGACTTGACATTTCAAGTCTTGATGCGTTTGTGATAATGTATTATCATTCCGTTTCACTACATGAGAATAGCCTTGAAATTTGCTGCTAAAGTTGACCAGCCAGGCAGCAAATAGTTGAATGGATACCGGTCCTCCGCAGTGAGTTCGATTTAGATAAACCCTTCACCAGGAATTTATGAGAAATAACAAAAGAAACCATATACCATGATTTTTTTAATGAGTGTTTCCCATGTATGTATATATATATATATCCAATATGTGATGGTTTTTTCATGTTGTTTTCATGATTTGGGGATGATCCCCAAGATCTTACGACATGGCGGTCCTTGAAGCCTCGCAGCGCCAGGATGCAGGTGAAATTCATGGCACCAATGAAGTAGAAAATCACCTGCTTTGAGCGAAAACAGCGAAAAATTGAGAAAACATGGGGAAGTAAAATGATGTGTGATGGTTTTGTTGGATGAAAACATTCATCTTGGGGTTTGAGGAAAAAAATGCCGTTGAAATCCTGGTTTCTCAGTGTTTTTCTACCATTAAAAATATTGGCAAAACATGTCAACTGGGACAATTACTCTACGTAGGATAAAAACCAAGCCCAGTTTGACCGGTGGTTGATGGTCAGTGATGGGGGTTCCACTAAGTGGCTGAATGGGGATTGAAAATATTGCGTTTTTTGGCAGGAAAAAATCCAGCTGCTTGCTACCTGGTACCTGCATAAACTGGAAGTCCAGCTGCAATTTGGAAATGTCAGCAACTTACAGCAAGCCACAAAGGCAACAAATATAATATATCTATATATATATTTTTTTTTTGGTCAACAGATTATTCCATAACCAAAACGAATTATTCCATAACCAAAACGAATTATTCCTCAACCAAGGATTATTCCATAACCAAAACGTATTATTCTTCAACCATGAAGTGTTATTCCTCAACCAACGATTATTCCATAACTAAGACGAAATATTCTTTAACAAACCGTATGATTCCTCAACCAAACATTATTCCATAACCAAAACGTGTTATTCCAAAACCAAAAGGGATTTGAACCAAACCAAGACATGAACTGCTCTAACCCAAGTTTTGCGGGGGTGGGGGGATTTTTAAATGCCTTGCAACTTGTCAAGAATCTTGTATAATGAAGACTTAAATTTGATCTATTGTTTTGCGGGGGTGGTGGGTTTTAAAATGTCTTGTAACTTGTCAAGAATCTTCTTTAATGAAAGTAAGTAGCGGTAGTTTTCCCAAAGAAACGGGGCTGCTTGCTGAAGACTTAAATTGGATCTATTGTTTTGCGGGGGTGGGTGATTTTTAAATGCCTTGTAACTTGTCAAGAATCTTCTTTAATGAAAGTAAGTAGCGGTAGTCTTCCCAAAGAAGCGGGGCTGCTTGCTGAAGACTTAAATTTGATCTATTGTTTTGCGGGGGTGGGGGTTTTAAATGTCTTGTAACTTGTCAAGAACCTTCTTTAATGAAAGTAAGTAGCGGTAGTCTTCCCAAAGAAGCGGGGCTGCTTGCTGAAGACTTAAATTTGATCTATTGTTTTGCGGGGGTGGGGGTTTTAAATGTCTTGTAACTTGTCAAGAACCTTCTTTAATGAAAGTAAGTAGCGGTAGTCTTCCCAAAGAAGCGGGGCTGCTTGCTGAAGACTTAAATTGGATCTATTGTTTTGCGGGGGTGGGTGATTTTTAAATGCCTTGTAACTTGTCAAGAATCTTGCATAATGAAAGTAAGTAGCGGTAGTCTTCCTTAAGAAGCGGGGCTGCTTTTGGTTGTGGAATCCTCAGAGTTTGGTTGTGGAATCCTGAGATATTGGTTGTGGAATCGTGAGATTTGGGTTGTGGAATCGTGGGGGTTTGGTTGTGGAATCGTGGGAGTTTGGTTGTGGAATCGTGGGAGTTTGGTTGTGGAATCGTGGGAGTTTGGTTGTGGAATCGTGGGGGTTTGGTTGTGGAATCGTGGGAGTTTGGTTGTGGAATCGTGGGGGTTTGGTTGTGGAATCGTGGGACTTTGGTTGTGGAATCGTGGGATTTTGGTTGTGGAATCGTGGGACTTTGGTTGTGGAATCGTGGGATTTTGGTTGTGGAATCGTGAGAATGTAGTTGTGGAAGCGCGCCGGTTTTGGTTGCGGAATCGCGTGGTTTGGTTGTGGAATCGCGTGGTTTTGGTTCTGGAATCGTGAGAACGTAGTTGTGGAATCGCGCTTTGTTCTATATTTTACATACATATATAAATACAAAGGTAATTTAATTCCTAGTCCTAGACCCTAAAAATGATCGCCGAATTTTCGATCTTCGATCTTCCATAGGAATTTCCCCCACCGCCCCACCTGAGAGAAAGTTTCACCCAGCTTAGGGCGCATCATATCCCAGAGTGTCAGGTAGTCGATTGCTACCTAGGAGTGAAGCAACTGCAGCAGGTTCCAAAGTTCAAATCTCTGAAAGTTCAGACATTGATCAACCAAAATGCAACACATTTTGGCCGGCTTTGGGTGTGTTTTACAATCGGGTGTGCCCCAAAAATGATCCAAAACATTCAAGTTTTAAAAACCTACTATTTCACGGGGAAAATGATGATAACCATCCATTGGGTCATGGAATTCTCCACTTTAAGAATCCCACATATGGCTATGAGCCTCTAAGTAAACAACTGACGGGCACCTGATGTTGAACTGAACCTGGGAACTAAAAATATCCGAAACTTGAAGATGTTGGATCGTTCCTTCACTAGAATTTACTGAAGGCCCTCCAGCCTATCAGAACATCTCTGGGCAAATTGAGCAGAAATGTTCGAACCCAATTGAAGGCCACCCATCTTGCGATGAGTCTGTCCCCTTGCCATGCATTACGGCCGATCATATAAATGTGGAAAACAATGGCAACGAAATCGGTAGGTCTAAACTGGATCTCTCTGAAAATGGGCTACCCCTAAACTTGATGCTTCATAATTTTCTAAAATTTTCTCCCATTTTCCAAGAACTCGTTGGGGGAATACATGTTCAATATGGATCAATATGGCCCATCTCGTTCAAGCCGCGCTCAGTGCCAGGACGAAGATCAGCTGGATGCCCATGAGGCCGAAAGTCTTCATCCGAAATGCCCTGCACGTGGCGGACTTCTCCACGGGCCCCACAGGCCCCCTCTGATCGATTTCGGATCACTGGCCCATTTCGGCCAAAAGAAGCCCTGTCTATAACTAGGTTGGCTAGGGTTTCTGGTGGATAGATGGACGGATAGATTGACAGATAGGTTGATTGATTGTTTGATTGATAGATATTGTTGTTGATATATTGATTGGTTGATGTATTACGCAGTATCATATATATATATTATTGATAAATTGATTGACTGATTGATCGATTGATGCATTGATCGGTTCGGTTACCTGAGGTTAGGTTCGGTTCCCTTGGGCCCCTGCTAGAGGTGCAACCTTTAAATATTCACAATGGTCATCATAAGAATACAGGGCCACTAAGACCCCAAGACTCAGGCTTGACCCTGTGGTCTCATGGTTAAAGCAAGACCAACCAAGGAATCCGAATGCAGTTGTGTAAAACTCTTTTGTGAAACAAGTTATTTCAACAGTCTTGTGCGTTCTTCCCCCTGTTACCGTATCAGTGTAGACTGTGGAGTGAGGAATGGCGTGGAGGGCAGAGTGTCGAGTGCGAAGAGGAGAGCAGAAACAGTGGAGTGTTGAGTGGGGAATGTAATGTGTAGAGTGTGAAGTGGTGTGGAGTGCAAAGTGTAGAGTGGGAAGCGTATAGAGTGTATAGAGTGTGGACCAAGTCTAGGGTGGCAAGCTACAACATCACCAAGTACTTTGCCTGCCAGGCAAAATGGCACGAAAGATGAAGGCAACATCGCACCTCGCGCAGCCGTGCCAATGCGGGAAGCGGCAATTGCAAACAGAAAAGTGTCCCAAATACTGCACCTGCCACCCAAAATGGCATTCCACACACAACGGATCTTCACCAAATGCTGCGCCTGCCATGCAAAATAAGACTGCGATATGCACGCTGTCACCACTTGACGCAGCCCTGACAATGCGATTCGCAAAAAAACACGCAACACGACATGTCTAAAGTGCTGCGCATGCCACGCAAAATAAACATGGAGGTCTCCAAAGTGCTGTGCCTGGCACGAAAAAGGAGAGTCCTCTTCTGAAAACCTCGCAAAAGTATTGTGCCTGTCACACAGAACGACTTTCGATACGCGATGAAACATGTTGGGATGTCACAAAGTCCCACACCTGCCACACGAAACGACATTGCACGACGTTTGAAACCTCCAGAGGTGACCACTTTTGCAGCAGTCGCTATAGGCACGCCATAGGGTCCCCACAGTGTCCCCACCGCGCTCGTACTGCCGGCGGTTGCGAACGCAAACACAGAAGCAACGTCGAGCGAACACAGGTCCACCCCCAGAGCCCCAAGATAAAACAAGAACCCTTCGCTACGCATTTGGAAAAAAAGGTTCGTCAATCTCCCATCAACTCCTGTCGGCTCCGCCTCTGCATGTATTTTGGCATGTTTCCCGCCGTGGTGGGAAATCTCCACAGCGACCTGCAAGGCTGGGCCATATGGGCACGCTTAGATCTACCCTCGGGTGTCCACTATAAACGGGTGATTTTCCAGTGCCACGTTTGATGCCGGAGGGCATGTCATTCATTCATTCATTCATTCATTCATTCATTCCTACCTACCTACCTACCTACATACATACATACATACCTACATACATACATACATCCATCCATCCATCCATACATACATACATGCATAGATTACATACATACATGCATACATACATTACATTGCCTTACCTTACCTTACCTTACCTTACATACATACATTACATACATTACATACATTACATACATTACATACATTACATGCATTACATACATTACATGCATTACATGCATTACATGCATTACATGCATTACATGCATTACATTCATTACATACATTACATACATTACATACATTACATGCATTACATGCACTACATGCACATGCACATACATACATACATACATACATACGTACCATACCGTACCATACCGTACCATACCGTACCATACCATACCGTACCATACCGTACCATACCATACCATACCATACCATTACATTTCATTACATTCCATTACATTCCATTACATTACATTGCATTACATTACATACATACATACATACATTACATATGTATATAATATATATATATATAATATATATTGGCTTCGGGGTGGTAACTGCTCAAGATCGATGTTTTTGAGGGTGTTGCACAGGGGCATTGATAAGAGTATGGAACAGTCTGGAATTGTTACTCGACTGCCTTCACGGGGGAGTAGCAAAATCCAGAAGCA